TGTGAGGTCCTCCCACAGCTGGAGTTATACACAGTTGTGAGCCTTCCAACATGGGTGCTGAGACTCAAACTCAGGTCCTCTGCAGGAGCAGCACCTGTGCCTAACCTGAGCCAGCTCTCAGCCACATCTGTAATACTTCTACTGCAGTCTACTCTGAGTGTGCAAGGTCCCTGCCATGTTGTGGTGAGGATAGTTACTTCCTTCCACGTTCTTTAAACTCTGATGATTTCTTTCTTTCAATTTTAAAATCTGAGAGAGGGTCTCTCACTACGTAGCCCTAGCTGTCCTGGGACTTGATATGTAGGCCGCCAGCTTGACCCGGCACTCACAGATCTACTTGCACCATCATGCCTGGCAACTCTGGTGACTTTTCACAAGTTACAGCCACGTCCACCCTGTGTAGAGTGCACCATATTCTCCTTTTGTATCCCAACAGTTTCCAGTTCCCAGTTAGTGACTGAATGAAACCAACTATTCATACTGAGACGTGAATAAAGTGCAGTCTAACCTTTTCACAAGCCACAGAAGCACTTCAGAGACGAGCCCAAAGTTGGGTGAGCGGAAATTCTCCATAGAAATATGTCGTGGATATCCCAAGGCTCTCATCATCTCTGTGAAATCTGTCCAATATAAAACACAATTCAGTCAGTCCTGTCAAATGGCAACTCTTTGGAGAGTAGTTAATCTTATTGTCTCTGCTTTCTCTTCTTATCGGTTCTTCCCAATGTAATGACCGCTCAAGGTGCCAAATCCATCAACTCTATAAGAGGAAAAGCAAGGGGAGATTAGAATTTACAGTATCTAATCCATCACCTAAAAAACACCTATGTTGCCGGGCGGTGGTGGTGCACGCCTTTAATCCCAGCACTCGGGAGGCAGAGCCAGGCGGATCTCTGTGAGTTCGAGGCCAGCCTGGGCTACCAAGTGAGTTCCAAGAGAGGTGCAAAGCTACACAGAGAAACCCTGTCTCGAAAAACCAAAAAAAAAAAAAAAAAAAAAAAAAAAAAACAACCTATGTTCAATGGAGTAGATTTTCTTCAAAGAAATGGGGCTTAGGGAATATCTGAGGCTTTAATTTCTATACAAAATAAAAACTACCTAGCCTCATAAAACATCATAAGAAAAAAATGTTGATAGTGGTTATTTATGGGAGAGCCTAGGTAGGATGAAGTTAAAGATTATATGTTGTTATATTCAGTGAGTATTTATGATTTCATGACATAAATTTTAAAGATCAGTTACCTCATATTCAGAGAAATTTTAAGAGAATGGTTGAACTATATTTAGTATTTAGATTTACTATAGAAACAGATTAGTAAATAGTAATATTCCAAGTTGCGAGCACCTGAAAAAAAAGCTACACTGCTTGAAAGAAGGCAGGATTTAGAAATAAAAACAACTACTGGGTGGTGGTGGTTCACACCTTTAATCCCAGCACTCAGGATGCAAGGGCAAGTGGGTCTCTGTGAGTTCGAGGCCAGCCTGGTCTACAGAGCGAGTTCCAAGACAGCTAGGACTACACAGAGAAACCCTGTCTCAAAAAACAAAAAACAAAACCTTGTTTCAAAAAACAAATAGCTAGGCACAGCAACCAGGAGAGGGATCCCTGTGAGTTCGAGGCCAGCCTGGTCTACATGGAGAGGGATCCCTGTGAGTTCGAGGCCAGCCTGGTCTACATGGAGAGGGATCCCTGTGAGTTCGAGGCCAGCCTGGTCTACATGGAGAGGGATCCCTGTGAGTTCGAGGCCAGCCTGGTCTACATGGAGAGGGATCCCTGTGATTTTGAGGCCAGCCTGGTCTACATGGAGAGGGATCCCTGTGAGTTCGAGGCCAGCCTGGTCTACATGGAGAGGGATCCCTGTGAGTTCGAGGCCAGCCTGGTCTACATGGAGAGGGATCCCTGTGAGTTCGAGGCCAGCCTGGTCTACATGGAGAGGGATCCCTGTGAGTTCGAGGCCAGCCTGGTCTACACGGCGAGTTCCAGGCCATCCAGGACTGCACAATGGAGACTTAGTCTTAAACACAACACAACAAAAGAAAAAGAAAGAAGGCAGGGCGCTGCAGCCCGGATGGCGGCAGAGCGCTCGCTTGGTGATCAGGAAGCTTTGGAGTCCTTCCCCAGCACTGACTAAACTCCACATGGTGGTGCTCCCCCAAAACCAACTCAGGAAGATCCCAAGTTCAAGGTCGTCCTCAGCTATATAGTGAGTTGGAGGCCAGCCTGGACTACACGAGACGGCGCTGAAGAGTCTAGCTACCACGGAGATGAAAGACGACTGCAAACTCCTGGTCACTTAAGAGGTGGCATCTAAGCTTCTCCCCATCCTGGGCTGATCTGGCCAGCCAGCCCAGATACCAGGTGTGGGTGTGGAGAAACTTTCCACTGAACTCACCCGCCCCCACCTCCCAGTGCAGTCTGCCTGCAGGTTCAAGTACCACCAGGCAGGGCTCTGCCAACCTCGCACCTGTGTGAGAGAGATTTAAGAACTGTTGATGGAGGGATGTGACTCTATGGAGTACTTGCCCAGCATGTGAAAGGTTGTAAGGTAATTATTACATGGCAAGAGATCCTGGAGCCCTCCACCCATTAACTCCACCCTTATGTATAAGACAGAGTGGGACTCCCGCCCATGTGTCCATAGAGATGCTCAGGCAGACCGGGCTGGGCTCAAATTCACTACATACTAAGGATGACTCCCCATCCATCCCCTTCTTCCTCTCAGGTGCCGGCAGTACAGGCCTGTGTTACCATGTCTGATTTTATGCAGTGCTGGAGACAGAATCCAGGACCTAGTGCATTCTAGTTAAGATGCTACTGAGCCACATTCCTAGACCTAGCTGTGTTTACATCATTGAAAATATGAAGAACCCAGCATTCAGTAGGCAGAGGGAGCAGAACCCTGTGAGTTTGAAGCAAGTCTGATCTGCAGAGTGAGTTCCAGGCTAGTGAGACCCTGCCTCAAAAAAGAATGAAAAGAAAAGAAACTGTAAAGAAAGCTAACTACAGTCAGGTGGTGGTGGTGCACACCTTTGATCTCAGCACTGGGGAGGCAGAGGCAGACAGAGCTCTGTGAGTTCGAAGCCAGGCTGGTCTACAGACTAAGTTCCAGGACAGCCAGGGATACACAGAGAAACCCTGTCAAGGAAGGAAGGAAGGAAGGGAGGGAGGGAGGGAGGGAGGGAGGGAGGGAGGGAGGGAGGGAAGAGGAAGAAGAGGAAGGAAGAAAGGAAGGAGGGAGGGAAGGAAGGAAGGAAGAGAGAGAGAGAGAGGAAGAAAGGAAGAAAGAGAAAGAAAAAGAAAAAGAGAGAAAAGAAAAGAGCACACCAGAGGCAGGTGGACCTTTGTGGGTTTGAGGCTAACCTCGTTTACAAAGAAAGCTCTAATACAGCTAGGGCTGTTGTTACACAGAGAAACCCTGTCTCGAAAAATCAAAATGAACATAACCAGCATTTCTGAGTTCCCACAATATGCTGAGATTTTGAACATGTTTCCTGGCTGTACAACGTCTACTCATGTTTCCTGAAGACAGCTATTCAAAACGTCCTGTAGACAATTCCAAATAACCTACTTGGACAATAAAGCAGGGTGAACTGCACCAGAGCATGGAATAGAAAGATGGTAGAAAACAAGTAGCAGTCTCCAGTCAGGCTTCGCCCAAACACTTCCTTCTGCTGAAGCTATCAAATTCTCCACTTTAGCCAGGAACAGACTCTCATACATTACCCAGCTATACAGTATTTATTTAAGGTAAACATTCTGAAATACTCCTCTTGAATACTCTTTTCAACACATCATTACACTGTTTTAAATGCCCTCAAACCCCAGAAGACACGACTCTCTCCAAGTTGATCCTGGCAGCTGCTACTCTTCTGCACACGAGGCAAGCTTTTGGGTCACACAGCTCTGCCACTCTTTCTAGCTGTGTGACCCACGAGAAGCTGTACTCCTTGAAGTTAAAACCAGAAACAAAACGTGTGAAATATAACAGCCTGGCACATAACAGATGTTCTACAAAGAGTAGTGACTAATATAAATATACCACTTCCCCACTCTCCGGCCAAGTTCTCCTCAGTATTTGGCGATCAGACAAGCTGGATTCAAACTCCAAAACCGCTCGCTCGTCCTAGCTATTACTTGCCCGAATGACTTTGACCTCCTGCTGCCTGTTTCTTCATCTCTGGACACGGGGCATAAGAACTGCCTAGGAGTAAACGAAATAACGCCCACAAAGAGAAGAGTATGTGACAGGTTGTTAACACAACAACCACAAACCTCAAAAATGAACAACAACCAACAACAAAAAACTAGCCGCAAGAGCCATTCATCCCGTCACCTCCTTGGTTTCATGGTTTCTTTCTACAAACTCTAACACAAGGAAAAGTCTCCATTTCCTATGACCTTTCTAATGTGGCTGCGAAAAACTGAGATAAAACGGGGTAAAATTTAACACATTCAGTTCCTCAGCCGCTGGAGACACATTCCAAATGTTCTAGAAACACGCGGCCAGCGAGGGACAGAACTTTCCAAAGGTGCTGTAAAGTTCTGTCAGCCCCTGGCTAGTCTGGGGCTGGGGACCACCGCCCTGACTGGGCCTATGGCTCAGGCAGGGGAGCCCCGAGTTTCTGGGAAGCCCACGGAAAAGCGGGGTGCAGCCTTACTGCGGAGGTCGCGAAAAGACATGGTGCTTTGGTCCCCAAGAGCCCACTAGGGCGTCGCTGCTCGCCTCTTTGGAGTTCGCAGGCCCAGCGCTCGCCGGTCTCTATAGCAACCTGCAGAGCACTTGGACAGCAAGCCGTCAGGGCCAAACAAGACAGGGAGCGAAACGGTGCAGTGCGCGCATGCGCACGACACAGACCAGCAGGTGGCGCTTCTCATCGTTGAGCGCTTTTGTCTCCTGTCTCGTTGTGGCTCTCATCGCCTCACTTCTATAGAGAGCACTATCACCTTATGTGACTGAGTCTCCTTCGTATTTGTAAAAACATAGCTAAAGTGGCCACAGACTGACGGGAACGAAGATATGGTACCCTCTGCAGAATTCGAGAACTGAACCCGGAGGGATTTCGTGCACGTACAGCTTGTCAGTCTTCACGACAGGCCGGAAATCAGTATCAAGATCCGTGCGCCAGAGGTTGTCCTGGAAACTGGTTAATTCTGAGACGGGAGCCATAGTGCTGGTGTGTCTCACCCCAGTGCGGGGGCGTAACCGCTACGAATCGGGGACAACCGCGATAAAGGAAGACTGGGGAGAGAAGAGATGAGCTGAGCCAAGAGGGTGGGCGAAGAGGAAAGCAAAGCCCCAAGATGGGTAGGCGCAGGATGTAAGGGTGCCCTTGACCTGGACATTGTGGTACAGACCAGGAGTAGATGCTGAAGGACTTAGTATGTAGAACAGGGCCACACATTTGTGGCTAGTCCAACATAGGTGACAATGCATTTGGACAGAGAGAATGGTCTTTGCCACAAATGGTTTGGAACAATGAGAAATCCACAGCAAATAAATGAAACTCTACTATTATCTGTATACAAAAACGATGGTTCGTAAACCTAAATGTAGAACATAGAACTAAACTTTGTATAACGAAACGTAAAGGTTTTGTGACTGAGTTGATTCCAAATTAGTTGTAATTTTATATTTCCACCATCAAGGCAAGAGTTCCAGTTTGTCTACATGCTTAGGGAAAAATGGCATTATCTACACACTGCCTAACAACTTGTGAGAAAATGGACAATTAGACAAGTGTCACCCAGAACTGTCTTCTCAGCATGATTCAGATCTCTGCAGGTTTGTACCCCAAACCCTCGTTCTCCCAATCACAGATGAGGAAGCTGAGGCCCCCAAAAGGTCACCCCATAGAATGACTTTCTAGCATGCCAAAGCTAAACTTTTTTGTCTTGCTCTAAATCTGAGGACCTTACCCTAGGTTTCTAGCCCCTCCCCTTGCCCTCCTCCCACCCTGCCCCAACCTGATACCATCCTCTCCCAAACTAAGGGACCCAGGAAGACTGGAGTCTTTACTGTGACATCATAGAACCAGTTGCCATGGGAGACCTGCAGACCCACCCCGTAGGCAGGGGAGAGCAGGCCCTGCTGCACACAAGGCCTGGCCACTCCTCCCCCACCATACTGGCCCTCCATGGAAGCCTTGGTCTGTGCATTCTCTGAGCTTCGAATAAGAGAAGGTGCCTGGCTGCAGGAAGGAGCTATGGCAGAGATGCCATTCTGTCCTAACCTGGGCAGATCCTAGGGACATGCATGTTTGGGGGGGGAGAAACTCCCGATCTAGGCTCTAGTACCCACTTTGCTTATACTGGCACCAGCATACTCTTTCTAGGGTAGAGGGAACAAAAGAGGGCTTGAGGAGCTGAAAGAGATCTCAGTGCCAAAGTCCTGAGCTTCTTAGGCCCCTTTGTTAGGGGAGCAAAGAGGAGAAATGGGAATAGACAAGAACTGAGGCTGGATAGCCTGGGCATGGAGCCTATCATATAAGCTGGTACCTGCAGTTTTTGTCCAGATGCTGGGCCCACTCGCCACCACCCTCCTGCTCTCTCTCTCTCTCCTGCAGATGCAGTGAGCTGGGCCCCAGGACGCCCCAGCCACCCTGACACACCACCCAACATCTATGAGGGAGGGCTGGGGGCCCAGCAGCAGCAGGGCCCCGGTGCCCAGGGAAGCAAGCCCAAGAACTTCCGATTGCGTCACCTCCGGAGCCTGGCTCTCTACCTGCCAGGCCACATGCAGCCTGCTGGTCAATGTGGAAGCCACTGGCTAGGCCGGCTCATGGCTGGGGGCAGCCTGCCGAGGCCTGAAGGCTCGGCCTGGCCACTGGACCTGCCACAGGGGACCTTGGGTCCAGGTAACAGCCATTGCTCAACCCTTCTGGAAGCCCAACTGCCCAGGGACAGCCTGGGAAATACAGGTGAGCTCTGTTAAGGCAGGACTGGAGACATGAGGGAAAGACTCAAGGGAACTCAGACGGGCCTCTTCCATTCCCCAGCCTTCTGCCAAGAACTAGGAAAGAACACAGTGGCCAGGACACACTAAAGTAATGTCATGCTCCAGGGGCCAAGATCTTGTTGAATTTTTCTCTCCGTGTGCCCCGCTATTGATCCCGTACCGTGGATGTACACTCTAAGTCCTGTGAAATCTCAGGGGTGGTAGTATGCAGCTGGCACAGCTGGAGCCTGTTGGGATATGGGGTGTAGAAGATCTGGGACTCAGTTCTGGGTTCTAATCCTCGTTCTTGATGGACCTTGGGCAGCTCTCCCTCAGTTCATTTTTCAAATGAAGGGTTCATGACATTTTCAGCTTGACCCATTGACGTCCCTTCCCCGACTAGTTCTTTCAAGAATGTAGCACAAGCCCTTCAATTGTCTTGAGGGTTGTAAGGTCCAGGGACACCAAGGTAGGGTTTCAAATTGGGTCCCTGAGTGACTTCTCTTTCCTTTTTCCTCAGCTTCCAGTTCCAGCATGGACCCAGCCAAGGGTATCCCCTCCCAGTCTGGTCCCCCTGAGGGCTTGGGACTCAGGCCCAAGAGGTCCTGGAGAGCCTTGGAGGAGACCATGTGTCCCTTGTGCAAGAGAACCCGCTCTGGGGCCTTGGAGAGGACATAAGGATCCAAAGTGCCAGGGCTGGGGACAGTAGGGGAAGAGTGGCCGAGGAGGCCAGGTTTACTGAAGAAGGGTTCAGTCCCAGCAGTAGCCCTGCCCACTGAGATGGCCCCCATAGCTGCCCAGCACCAGGCCTGGGCTAGTCTGGGGATAGTATGAAGGGAGGGAGGAGGAAGTCCCATGGGAGGGACAGGAGAAATGGAAGCATACCCGTGCCCTTGCAGCCTGCCCAAACTCCGGTCAGCCACTTGTACCTGGGAGGCCAGGCCGAGCAGAGTCAGGTTCCTGAGAGGCCAGGGAGTCCTCAGGTCTAACCTCAGTAAAAGCCAAGGCCTACACACCTTCTTGTCTGTCTGTCATCAAGTTAACCCAGTCAAAACCGCCCTGCAGCCATTCAGGGGAGCTATCCTGGGGGTGCACAGAGAGTCATGAGCCAGGTCCAGGGAGGCTTTGTAGGGGAGACCCTGACCATGGTAACTCTAGAAGGCAGGCAGGGTCTCATCAGGCCTGAACACAGGGCATGGCATTCCAGGGACAAAGGGATGAAATGCAGGTTTGGTTTAAAGAGGGAACCAGGACGGGACCAACCAAGGGAGGCATGTTGGCCTGGACCCCAAACTGCTCCTATCGAGGGATTAGATGAATTTATGGCCCCACAGGAACCCATCAGGATGGCCACAGGCCTTCTTCCAGCTGGACTAGATTTCAGGTATCTGGGTGTTGACGACCTTGGGTATTAACATTTGGGACTGGATCAAGTCTTTGTTGTAGGCCCATTCTGTGCCCTGGAAGAAGTTTTGTAGCCTCCCAACGATGCCAGCAGTACCCAGGCTGTGACCACACAGACTGTCTCCAGAGACTTAGCCACTCTGGTTGGGAGCAGAGCCATGGCCTCCATCGACCATGTGCCTGCATGACCCTTGGAGTCTTAGAAGCTATGATGGAGATGGGGGCAGACGGGTTGGGGAAGAGAATTATACAGTTTCACACTTGGATCAGGTTCTAGCTCAAACCTGAGAGCCAGGGTGCGGGTATGAACTGACAGGCAGCTGCTAAGGGCCTTTAAGAAAGAGCCCAGTTATTGCTTTCAGCAGTAGACACCTTCACCAGGCTCACACTCCTCTGCAGAACAGTGGCCTGCATGACTGAGGCACCAGGAAGACTGCAGCAAGCAAGCTCCCAGCCCTCAGCCCTAGCCCAAAGCACGAAGTGTAAGAGCCAGCTACCAGTGACAGGACGAGACTAGTGAAATTATTTATTTGTTTGTAATGAGACTACACACTACGATTCGTTCAACACTGGGCTGGACACTGCAGTAATTAGGGGACAGGAGGGAAGAAAGACAGGTTGAGGACTTTGAGTTGGATTTAAGAATATCCAAGTCAGAACCTTCTGGAAGACTCTTCCTTGACCACACAGGGCAGAAATTAAAATCACATGATCACCACTGACTGAAAAGGAAGGGAACACGGGCTGGGCCTCAGCACACAACCGAAACCAGTCAGGACACCAGCCACCTGCTGGCCAGTTCTGTTGAGGAAGGGGAATGCTTTTCCTGCCTTGGCCTTCCTGCTTTGTGAGGACCCTTCCCTCTCTGAGGCCAAGCAGCCTTGGGCTGGCTCTAGGGCCTGAGAGCCCTAATCCAGGAGATGCTGAGGGATGGAAGCCTGTCAACAGAGCTGTTCCTAATAAGTCTGGCACAGTGAGAGGCTGTGAGGATGCCCTGCATGGGCACCTGTGATACTGCAGCAATACTGGGCAGGACTCTGGGGGCACAAGGAAGGGACGCTGCAGGTACAATTCACGGCACTGACAAGAGCCTCTGCCTCAGGGCTGAAAGTCCACAGGCACCAACTGCCCTCTGCTCCCAAGGCCAAGTCTCATGAGTCCACAGTAGCAGAGATGCCCAATGCAGAGCTCAGCCTCCTCCTGTCTGCATTTGGCCAGTCCTTGAAGCTTCAGCTTCTAGAAGGATGAGCAAGGGAGGAACCCAGAAGCCAACAGCTCCCAGTTCTTGGCCCAGCTCCAAGTGCAGGTCAGCTATATGGAATTTGCCCGGATTCGACAGGCAGGATGATCCTTCTGGACAACAGGAAGCGGGGAGTAGGAGGCCTGAGGAACAAGGAACCGTCCATCTAACCGACTATGGTGAGGGCTGATTCCTGAAGCTTTACGTTCTTGTCAAGGGCCAGCCCCACTCTTTCTCCCCACTCTCCAGCCTTTCATGAAAAACTGGTTCCACTGTCTAAGCTTCCTATAAAAAAACCTGGCATTCTCTTTGCTGTGCCTCTTTATTCTAAGGTTCCTGTGTCTTCAGCGTCAAAGATGTCCATATTCTTTTCACAGCAAAGTTCAGTCCATTCTGTAGGAAAGATGAAGGAGCAGGAGGCAGAGGAGAGGCCTGGCAAGACCTTTTCCAGTGAATGCAGCCAACACCTGCCAGGCCATTGGGATGGTGCCAGTGCATGGAGGCAGGACAAGGGCTCCTCCAGGTGGAGGGAGAAGTTTCCAGAAGCAGGAGGAGAGCCTGCAGGGAAGAGAGCAGGGCAAGTGAAGGCACTGCAGGATGCTCACCTACTTCACCCTCTAGCCTGTGGGCTTTTGCTGAGCCAGGGTACACCAGAGCATGAGCCCTTCTCCAGCCCCCAGTCTGGCAGTGGCCAGCAGGCTCCCTGGAACTTAACACAAATGCAAGCACCTGGATGTGTACCAAGCCTCAATGTGGATGGTCAATGGAATGGGCTCTGCAATACCCAAACCTCTTCCAGTTCTGCAATTCTCTGTTCTCTTGGCTTGGGAGACCAGCTCTCAGCAACCAGAATGGCTGCATCCAGGCAGAATCTTAACTCCATGTGCAAGTTGTCGGCATGGGCTTTGGACAATGCCACATGGAGATGCCCTGGTGACTGCACTGGTGGTGAGAGCAGCAGTCTGGGTCACAGGTCACTGGTCACTGGTGCCTCTTGTCCGGTAAAGCCAAGTAACTGTGGGCCTCCAGTAGGAGCTGCTTGGCCTTTCTGTACCTTCCCAATGTTTGAGTCACACGACTCCATCATTTTAACAACAACAAAAAAAAAAAAGAAAAAAGAAAAATTTGTTCAGGCCCTGGGGAGATGGCTCAGTGGTTAAGAGCATATGCTGCTCTTTCCAAGGACCAGGATTCAATTCTCGGGATCTACATGGCACAACTGCCTATACCTCCATTTCCAGAGACTCCAATGCCCTCAAATTCTCAAGAGATAAATTAAAAACATTAAAAAAAAAGCCATCCAGGGGCTGGAGAGATGGCTCCACTGGAAAAGTGATTGCTATATAAATATAAGGATCTGATTTGAGCTCCAGCACCCACATAAAATGTCTAGGTAGGCAGCTGAGAGACAAGAGATCTCCGAAGCTCACTAGCTAGCCAGTACAGTTAAATCAGTGAGCTACAAGTTCCATGAGAAACCCTGTCTCGAAAGTAAGGTGGAGAATAACTGCCCCCATGTTGAGCTCCATGCTCCACAAACGTGCACATGTGGATGCAAATGTACACACACAGTCTAGGGAGTAAAAAGAGATCTGGCAAGTGGTGTGAGGCCTTTGGTCCCTTGCTCTTCCAAACGCTTCTGGACCCACTGTGAACTGCTCCCAAGTACCTGCCTAGAGACTTCTTGTCTCTACAAGTACCAGACTCCCCAGGTCCTACCATCTGTTCCTACCTGTTGAAGACCAGGCATACACTCTTCTTCTGAGCCAGCATAGCACCGGGCCTGCAGCTGGGGCAGGCCGATGGGCCGGCAGGTGGCCACCAGCTCCTTGCAAAGGACAGCAGAAGTCAGACAGATAGGAAAATAGGCTCCACAAAGTGCTGAGGACAGAGGCCTGGGGGAGGCTGCCCCAATGGCATCACATGGTACGGCTGTATTCGATGCCACCTTTGGTGGAGATGCTGGACCATGGCAGAAAGCTGCAGAGCAGGCTGTGGGCCTGGCGGTAGATCCTGTGTGGGATGGAGCAGGGACTCAGGTTGGCTAGTGCTGAGCCCAGGTGTTGGATGTAGTCTGTAGGTTCTGTCAAGGAAGATACCGATATGGCCCCATCTGCCTTGCCTGCCCACATGCAGCGTCCTTGGAGTCTGATCAATGACCCACAGCATTGTTCCCACGTGGCACAATGCACTCAACTGGAGGCCAAGGGCCTATTAAACCTTAGAAAATACTAGAAAGACTCATTAAGTGGACTATCAATTTGGGAAATAATGCACAGTAGAGTCATATAGGACAATCACCATAAGGTAATTAACAAAGACCAGGGCAGGATCTATAAGACAAGTGTTCCTAGTTCTCCAGAGGGACAGAGCCCACCCCAACAAGGACATGTTTCAGCAGTGCTAACCCCTGGATGCCCATACACACCTGACTTCATGTGAGCTAGGCCTATGGAGCGTGGGCTCACCTGTTTCCTGTTTTCTCAAAACACCCACAGGTACATGTGGTGTATTCTGGGCTATTACCCCATGGCTGCTGGGACATCTGGTTTCGTCCCTTCCTAACAAGGACACCATTAGAGGAGAGAATTGGGGGGTGGGTGAATACACCTTCGATCATGCAACTCCACGAGGAAGGTCTGAACCCAGGTGTGTTCTGCCACTGTTTACTTTCTTCTCTGTATCACGGGCTGCGTAGGTGGGGCTTGTATCTGCTATGCTTACTGCTGACCCCTGGAACAGGGTACGTTCCATATTTCTTGAGTGGATGGATCCATCCTAGGCCCAAAGAGTTAAAACCCAACCTTCCTGCTGGGCTGAAGCTGTTAGGAAGTGCTAATTTTCCTAATGTATGCAACCAATCAGGTGCTTTAGACCTGCCCATACCCTGAGCTACTCAAGGAGCAACACTACAAGCTAAGCCAGTGACTGTGAGTGACTGAAGGTGGCCACAGTTCCAGCTGACTTTCTGGTTCTTCTAGCCCTCTAGCCATGAAACCACAAAGCCTTCTCTCTCCCTTCCAGCAGTAAAGGATATAAGATGGTCCAGGGAGGGTGGCCGCCATTGATGTAGAGGACGTAGGTGAAGCCATCTTTGAGGACCCCTCGGATGGAGTAATAATAGGGCAGATAGTGATGCTGCTTAAAGTCTCTGTTTTCATAGAAGTTTATTGCTGTATTGTTGGTGGTGAGGACATGTAGGTAGATGGCTTTGCAGTGGTCCTGGGCAGTGGTTGAAATATGATCCTTTAAACTTTCTAGTAAAAGGGAACCTGGGGAGAGGAGAAGAAGGTTTCCCACAGCAGGGCAGTTAAGAGGACATAGATGAAGCCACAGTTCTGCAGGAGTCTAGAGGGCTATGCTCCCAGAAC